GTACGGATGCGTGAGCGGCGAAGGGCAGACAGGAAGCGAGGCGCACAAGGTGTGTTGATTCTCATAAACACCCTGCAGATGGACAGTAAGTGGCGAGGCAGAGGAAGGAAACGGGCGCACATGCGTGCACATCAATGACGGGAGCTGGATGCTAGGAGGCTTGCTGCGGATTGATTCGAATCCTTCTTGGCGCAAGAGCTATAAGGGCGGAGCACAGCCATAAGGGTACAAGAGCATAAATGTGAACCCCGCTTGCAAGAATAAAGTGAGCCGCGCGATTCCATGCCATGGTGAAGGAAGAAAACTAAAGAGTTAGTAGAAGCATAAGGATGAAGGAGACGACACTGGCAGTTTGCGGCGGGAAATGACCTAGTTGGTGAAAGGGTCGCATCTATTACTAGAGAATAAACGAGAGGGTGGGAGAAAAGTCGCAGCAAGACAACCAAACGACACTCACGGGCATTGCCGCGCGAGCTTCCTCCAAGCCGCGGCGTTGATATGAAACCGCGGGTCGCGCACCGACACGAGCTTGAGCCTTTTTAAATTCAGGCAGCCCGCGCCGATTCCCCCTAGCAGCTGGTCAATGGTGGTGCAGCTAACCTCCACCGCGAGGTCTATTATATGGGTAAATACCCCGGAATAAATGTCGAAGTTCTTTATCCATTCTCGGGCGGCGGCGCCCTGTTTTTTCGCGAAGAAGTGGAGGCGGAGGTAGTGGGGTGTGTGGCGGGCGAGGCGGCGGAGGTGAGAGCAGGCATCTCTAAAAAGGTCTCACCCCAACCTGACCTAAAAAGTCAATAATGAGCATATGTAACGAAAGCAGTGAAATTCAGTACATACCACGTTGTAGCCCAAACCGTTATTGCCATAATGAACTTCTAGTCTTTTGCTTTGTATACGCCCCTTGTACCAACAGGAACATGGACGCGGAAAAAAACAAAGGCCACCACATGTGGTCGCCATCACCGCCACCACGCCCAACATAGCCACCCGCCCAACCATCCACGCGCCCTCGCTCCTTGCCTCCACTCCTGGAAGAGCCTGCGAAAGTGGGAGGCAAGGAAAAGGGCGAACAACCGTTAGAAACTGAATGAAAAAGAGGCAAACCATATGTATTCGGGAGAGCCTAAACGGTGATAACGTTATTTTGCCTAAAAGGGCTACATCAGCGTAACATCTCTAGTTAGGTGGTAGGTGGCTAACTTATCTAAAATTGTCTCACCTTAACATCAGACTGCCATGTTGGGTAAAGGAACGGTCGAATTAAAGTCACCTAGTCGATAGTCACCCACGGTTGCTAGTACCATCTATTGGAGCCGTTGCTGCCCTTCGTGAGACCTTCGTCCCTCCCCAGGACCGCCATCACCGCCACCCGCCCAACCACCCCCGCGCCATCTCTCCTTCCACCACCCTTCGCCTCCCTTCCCACCGGCGCTCGATCAGGATGCGGCAGCTCTCACGCCGGCGCGGCGGTGGATGCGGTGGGGCCTTCGCTGGAAGAACCTGCGAAAGCGATAGACAAAAAGAAGAACAAGAAACCTTTAGAAATTATAAGTTGGAAGAAGAATGTGGCCGAAGTTGTGCGTCATCTCAGCTGCACGACAACACTAACGCATGGTATTTTTTCTAAACACGACGAAACACGACCCGATGGAGCCTCACTGCTGACGGAAAAAGTTGCCTAAGTGCTGTGGGAGTAGACAATCAGACACATAAGTCGAGCATCTCTAAGCAAATGAAAATAGGCTCAGCAGCAGAGCAGGCCTAAGTTTGTGTCTAGCGGCTTGATCGCGGTATTAGACGGTTTGAAAACGTTTGGCAACGGTACTGGGGTGTGACGAGGTGTTTTGAAAGGGTTGGAGAAGATATTGGATCAGCTGAATTGTGTGGTTCTCTTTTGTTTTGTGCAGCCGATCTTCGTATGGCATGTGAGGTGCTTTCGGCGCTGCTGGCAGATTACGACCACCAGTGAATGACAGGTGGCGAAAACTTACTGACCTAAAACCGCGGAGTTGGCGATGTTTCCAGTTTTCAAACCTATGGCTAGGCCAGAGTGTAAAAGACTCGCCTGTTTCTGGTTGTATTTGTTCATTGTGCTCGTGATATGCTGCTCTGATTTCGCGAAATACCTGTTTTGCGATCGTAGGTGACGTTTTGTAACTTTGTTTCGGTCGCAATTCGTTCTTGATGACGCGACGGGTGCAACGCTGGTCGCACGAATTCAAAGCGTGTTACAGGATTCCCCGGCAAGAAAATCGAAATTGAAATCTCCGATTCGTCAACGTTTGCATTTTTTTTGCGACTCGTTAGATTTGGACGTGTTTGATTGGACAATGTTGGCTGGGTCGCGGTTCGGTGCTTTTGGAAGGCGCCCCACTGGTCAGTTTGAGGTCATTTGGGGGTCAAGGGGGGTGATTTTCCTGAAAATCGATAACCTTCTAGTGACCTTCGTGTGAAAACGGTGTGCACCTGACACCGAAGTCACCTGGGGGTTCCCAATTTCTAAGGGTCAGCCCCAGGTGGTCAACATTTTAAAGATGGGAGAGGGCGAGGCTGCAACGATCGCGCGGGTGGTCGACGCGCGCGAGAACGGGCTGGAGAAGCTCGTCGGGGAGCGACAGCAAGCGAGAACTCTCGTGACCGCGAACACTCTTCATCGTCCAGAGTTGCTTGTCTCGTTAACGCGTGAACGGATGTATGAGGGACTTGACAACTACCAGAGCACAACAAAACAATTCTAGCACAATTCACCTGTTTCTTTCCGTGCTATGTTTGCCTGTGTGTTCGTGGAGTGGTTGTGACTTGCTGCTTGATTTGTGTGAAAATGAGAACGAGAATGAAATGACTATGAGCGAAGTGAGTACAAATAGGAAACCCTAATTGGGTTGTACCCCCTATGGGATACCCCACTATAGCCTACACAAATAAGTAAGCTATAATGTTCTAACACACCCCCATAGGCAAAGTGGGGGAGAACAAGGGGTCACAAGACCAGTCAAGCAAAGCAAGACAAAGCTCAGGGTGGATCACAAAGTCACCACACATTCCGAGCACAAGTTCAAAGGCCAAAAGGCCAGTTCACATGCAAGATCACATATATAGGTAAAGAAGAGGCTAAACAAGCAAGAGCAAGAGTATATATATGTGACAGTACAAACAAGGTCAAGAAGTGAGCAAGTGAGGCAAGACAGGCACAAGGCCCAACTGAGTAAAGAAACGCTGATGATCACAAGGCGGAAGTGCCTTGGTGAAGACATCAGCAGTGTTGGCCTCAGAGGCCACGTACGCAAGCCGCAACTGTCCACGCTGCTGCAGCTCACGCGCAAGAAAGTAGCGGAGAGCAATGTGCTTTGTCCTGTGCTACAGTCGCTGCTCTCGACACAAGGCCAGCATGGCCTTGTTGTCTACGTACAAGACTGGAGGCCAACGAGGCGGCTCTCCAAGGTCGGTCAGTAGGTAGGTGAGCCAGCGAAGCTCCTGGGCAGCCATAGCCCCTGGCGTAGATCTCAGCCTCACAACTGGAGCCGAGAACAGAAGAAGAGCGGGTAGCCCGCCACGAAACAGAGCCGGAACCAAGACTGAAAGTGTAACCCTGTGACGACCGCTGCGTAGCCTGGTCGTCAGCCCAAGAAGCGTCCGCGTGCCCAGTGAGGACCACTGGACTGCGCCCTCCAAGCACTAGCCCCATGCCCGACGTACTGCACAAGTAGCGCAACACCCTCTTCGCTGCAGCCATGTGCTCTGGTCGGTGTCTCCCAGGAGCAACATAGTGTGCAAGAATGCTAAGAGGGTATGCAAGGTCAGGTCGTGTGCAGGTCATCAGGTACATGAGGCAGCCGACAAGCTCTGGATACAAGCCACTCGACTCTACGGACTCATCCAAAGGCAGAGCTGAGAGCGAGTGGCGAGTAGGCAGAGGAGTGGCCAAAGGCGAGGAGTACGTGAAGCCGAAGCGCTGAAGGACCTGCTGCACCATGTGTGACTGAGTCAGGGTAATGGTGTGGCGTGCTCTGTCCCGGGTGATCTGCAAGCCAAGGTAGCTGCGCAGCTCACCCAGGTCTGTGCACGTGTGTCTCTTCTGCAGCTCAGACTTCACGTAGGCGAGTCCAGCAGTGTCAGTAGTGGCAAAGACCAAGTCGTCGACGTACACGAGGATGTAGAACGGCGGCAGAGAAGTGTCGGTGCGCAGAAACAGCGACGGGTCGGCAGTAGAAGGAGCAAACCCAAGTGCCGCCAGCGTAGTCCTCAGTGTGTCGTGCCACTCACGCGGCGCCTGGCGGAGACCGTAGACTGGACGTCGGAGACTCCACTGGGTACCAGGAGGGAAAGACCCAGTGAAGCCAGGTGGGCGGCGCAGCCAGATCTCCTCGTGCAGGCTGCCCTGCAAGAAAGCAGTGCTGAAGTCGAGAGAGTGCAGCTCGTAGTCACGGTGAGCAGCAACGTGCAGCAGTACCCGAAGAGTGGTCATCTTCGGGGTGGGGGAGAAGGTCTGAAAGTAGTCAACTCCCTGCCGCTGACTGAAACCACGAGCCACGTAACGCGCCTTGAAGACAGGCGGAGAACCCGGCGGCCGCTTCACCTTGAAGATCCACATGCCACTGACGATGTTCGCCCCAGGAGGGGGGACAGCGTCAACGTAGGTGCCTGTGGTCTTCCAGGAAGCCATCTCTGCATCCATAGCTGCCTGCCACTGAGAGGAGTAGGGACCCTCTATCGCCTCCGCGTAAGAGCGCGGAGTCGGGATGTCAAGTGCATCCGGGTCTCCCTCAGGGGTGAGCAGTACGGACACGAGATGAGGTGAAGCGGCGGCCAGACACTGGAACTCCTCCTGGCTGTCCTCAAGGACGTCCGTGCCAAGGGCACACTCACCCCCGACGGACGGAGGACAGGCAGACTCAGACTAAGCGACCACACTAGCAGCGTAGTCTAGACGACAGCGATCAGCAAAGTCGACGAGCTCAGTAACAAGGGCAGACGCAGCAGTAGACTCGAAAGAAGGGTCAGTGACGGCAGTAGCAAGGAGACGCGTGACAGTCGGACTGGCAGCACGAAGAGATTCCGACTCCGGTTCGGCAAGAGCAGGAAGAGAGGACGCAAGAGGAGAAGGCAAAGGGGCACGCAGAGGAGCAGTGGACAGACGCAGAGACATCCGGTGCGTGCCAGGGACAGGAGGAGGACGCTGACGCGAACCGCGACCACTAGCGCGCGCAGTACGAACAGGCGACGCAGGACGAGACGCAGGCTCACGACGCTCAGTGAGACCTCGAGTAGGACCAGCGTAGGGAGAAGGAGCAGGCAAAGGGGAGGCAGGCTGTAGCTGTGACTGTGACAGGACAGGCTGTGGACCCTTTAAGGGAGGAGGAGGAGGACCAGGAGAAGGTGTAAGACCAAGAACCTGCTGCAGGAGTGGAACGAAGTACGGTCGGGGCCGCGTGGTGACGCGAGAAACAGCAGGGACAGGACAAGTACCCCCAGCAGGAATACCCGCTCCAGCAGCACCTCCAGCAGCACCTCCTGCAGCTCCAGAACCCCCAGCAGCACGTCCAGCAGCCCCGGAACCTCCAGCCGCACCAGGAGCACCGCCAGCCGGACCGCCAATGGTAGCCTCAGCGCCAACACCCTCAGCAGCACCAGCTCCAGTCGAACCCACAGGCCCAGCAGCTCCAGTACTCCCAGGACGAGCACCTCCGGGACCCGCGACTGCAGCACCCTCAGTAGCCGACGAACCTCCACCACCAGCAGCACGGCTCCAGCGCCGGGTAAACCACTTGCGCAGCTCCTGTAGAGAGAGTGGCTCCCGGCGAGACGAAGCACCCAGAGAGCCTCCAGGCTCAACACCCCCAGACCCAGCACCCCCAGGCAAGGCACCTCCAGGCGTAGCACCCCCAGGCTCAGCAACCCCAGGCTCAGCACCCCCAGGCTCAGCACCCCAAGGCTCAGCACCCCCAGGCTCAGCACCCCCAGGCTCAGCACCCCCAGGCTCAGCACCCCCAGGCTCAGCACCCCCAGGCTCCGCACCCCCAGTAGCACCAGAGTCACCAGTGACCTCGACAGGCTCGATTGCGTCTACCTGGGACACACCTGAGGGGGCAGGACCCTGAGGGGGGAGGGGGTCTACCGGTGGGGGACCTGGGACAAGAAAGAGCGGGGGCGGGGGGAGGGACGGAGCGCGGTAGGGGAAGAGGCGGTAGTAGGGTAGCGACTCGTCGAACGTGACGTCTTGGGAGGATAGAACACGGCGAGAAGTGGGGTGGTAGAACTGCCACCCAGGGGCGTCGAGGGGGAACCCCAGGAAGACGCAGGGAGCAGCGCGAGGGGACAGCTTGTCCGCAGACAAGTCGCGGACAAACGCCCGAGATCCCCAGACCCGGAACGCCGACGCATCGCCAACCTTCCCCGTCCACAGCAGGGCTGGGGAGGTCTCCGGCCTGGAGACCCTGGGGTGGAGGTTGATCTGATGCGCCGCGTACCTCACCGCAAACGGCCACAGAAAATGGGGCGCAGCCGCATGCATCATAGACGTACGAGCGACGTCCATGACCATGCCAATGCGGCGCTCTGCAATCCCATTTTGCTGCGGTGAGTCCGGAAGCGTGAAGGTCTGACGGATGCCTCGCGCACGACAGTAGGCACGCAGAAGGCCAGAGGAGAACTCTCCGCCTCTGTCCGAGTGCAGACGCAAAACAGGAAAGTCCGAGCCAAAGCTCTGCCTGAGCTGGAGACGAGCTGCGCGGATCCAGTCGATCAGCACCTCAGTAACATCACCCTTGCTGCGCAAGGGGAAGACTGTGGTGTAACGCGAGTAGTCGTCAACCACCAACAGGAAGTAGCGCTCGTGACCTAGTCCATGGACGCGGGCAGGGCCCCACACGTCCATGTGAAGCATCTGCAACGGAGCCTCTGTCGGAGGAAACTGGGAGGAGTGAGGGGCAGCACGCTGGCGCCCCTCAACACAGGGGACACAGGCAGGGCCACGGCCCTGAGGAAGGGGAGGGAGGGACCGGGGGAGACCAGAGACAAGAAGACAGGAGGCCATGCCTCTGAGCCGAAGCAGAGAGGGGTGACCAAGGCGGTGGTGCCAGAGGAGAGTCTCGTGAGACAGGCGACGACACGAACAGGGGGCAGACTCAGGACCAGACCTGGACGCTGCAGCAAACACCTGACCAGACGAAGGGACCCTACCGGACTCAGCAACTGGAGGAGAAGCAGTGGTCAGTGTGTACAGGCTCGACCCTGGCTGACGTGTAAACGTAGCCAGGTGACGACCTGTGCTAGCCTCTGTGCAGTGCGTCACACGCTGACAAGCAGGAGTGAACTGGTGGACACCCGCATCCTGTAGGTCAGCACCACTCACCAGGTTCGTAGAGAACGAGGGGAGGTAGAGACCAGACAGGGTGCCAAAGGGGGCCGCCGGACACGGGAGGACTGTGGAGAAGCGAGACAGGACAGGACCCCCAGAGGGGTCAGCCAGGGACACCGCAACCGGCCGACTAAGCGGCCTGAGTGTGGTGCGGTCCCGAAAGAAGGAGCGAGATGCCCCAGAGTCAAGGGTGAAGGTGTGGGAGGCCGAAGCCGACGCAATACCTGAGAGCGCAGACTCACTAGTACCTGAGAGCGCAGACTCACTAGTACCTGAGAGCACAGACGCACTGGCACCTAGAGCTGTAGCCTCATTGGCACCTAGAGCAGCAGTACCAATGCCCGGGTCGGGCGGGAAACACCGGTAACAGTCACCCTCATCACTAATAGTCACAGCATACATGGCAGCAAGGATAGCATCAAAGTCAAGATCAAAGATAGCTACACCAGCCCTAGACAGCTCTCCCCAGCGTTGGATCTCAGAGGCCTCCGGGAACTGCTGGCGCCAAGCGTCCGTCAGGCGGCCAAAGCAGCGCTGGGCGGTGTGGGTACCCCCACACTGCTCACCCGCGCGGTCGCCGGTGCGAAGGACGTAGGTGCAGGGACCAAAAGCCCCACCACGCTGACGCTGCGTGTACCACTCACGGAGCTGCAGAGGGGCGGGGACGTCGCGAGAACGTTGCTGCTGGCGCTGACCACCCCCAGTGCTGCTCCGCTGCGAAGAGCCACTCGGACCACCTCCACCACCGCCACCCCCGCCTCCGCCTCCACCGCCGCCACCTCCGCCACCTCCGCTCCCACCGCCACCGCCGCCGCCACCTCCGCCTCCACTACCGCCACTAGTACCCCCACCCCCGCTACCACCTCCACCGCCACCCCCACTCCCCCCGCCGCCCCCACCTCCTCCGCCACCGCCCCCGCTAGCTCCACCCGCGCCCTTGCCCCCCTTGCCCTTGCTAGGGCGGCGTCTCCCGCTAGGGGCAGACGCCGCACCGACCGACTCAAGACCAACGAGGTCGGCCGCAGCAGCAGAGGCGACAGAGGGTAACAGGGGGGAAGGAGAACACCCCTCAAAGATGGGGGTGCGAGGGTCACCACGAGAGGCCCCTACAGCGACTATGCTCTTCTCGGCCGCTAGGAGGGACTTCTCGAGGAGGTCGACAGTGAGAGTGGTGGGACAGAGCGAGAGAAAGTGGTCCCTAACTACACGAAGGGACTCAGGGAGACGAGTGACTAGAAAGTAGAGAGTGATGTACATGGGGGGGGGGGTTTTGGCGCAGAAGTCAGCAGGAAGCGCAGCGCGGTAGCGAGTGTCACTAGTGCGGAGGTGCGTAATGAGGTCAGCGACTGTGGGAAAGGCAGCAAGGTTGGGGAAGAGGTACGGTAGCATGAGACGGCTCAGTGCAGCAGTGGCAGGGGAGGAGTAGCGTGCAACTACAGCGTCGTACAAGGTCTGTGCACTCTTGTACTGACTAAAGTGTGCACGCTTAGAGGTGGGGAGGTGGCGACGCACAGCAAGACGTGCAGCAGCATCGCGTGTGGCCCACTTGGAGCGAACAGTGGGGTCAGCATCAGCAGCAGGGGCAGGGACGGCGCCAGAGGTAAGGTCAAAGAGAGAAATGTCATCTACCCTATCGCACTGCAAGTACAGCTGCAGGTCGTCGACCCAGACCTCAAAGTCAATGGCACGACCCTCAGCGTCAAGAGCTAGGACACTAGGGGTAGCCATGACGACAGACGCCTAGCAGTGCAAGCAGTAGGGTGAGGGCAGTGCAGCGAAAAGGGCTCTGTGCTCACCAGACAGGGCAGAACAGGAAGTAAGGCAGCTTGGTGGCCGGCGGCTCGACTGCTGGGCGGCTCGGCTGCTGGGCGGCTCGGCGGCTCGGCTGCTCGGCGGCTCGGCGGCTCGGCGGCTCGGCTGCTGGGCGGCTCGGCTGCTGGGCGGCTCGGCTGCTGGGCGGCTCGGCTGCTGGGCGGCTCGGCGGCTCGGCTGCTGGGCGGCTCGGCGGCTCGGCTGCTGGGCGGCTCGGCGGCTCGGTTGCTCTGCTGCTGGGCGGCTCGGCGGCGCAGTGGCTCGGTCACTGGGCGACCCGGCGGTCAGGCGGCTCGGCGACCCTGGTTCATGGCGGCGTGGCGGCCGTGGGTAGGACAGCGGGTGGGCCGCAGGTAGGGCAGCAGGCGTGCCGCAGGTGGGGCGGCAGACGAGCCGCAGGTAGGGCGGCGGGCGTGCCGCAATGTAGGGCGGCCGTCGGGCCGCAATGTAGGGCGGCGGGCGGGCCGCGACGTAGGGCGGCGGGCGGGCCGCGACGTAGGGCGGCGGGTGGACCGCAGGTAGGGCGGCGAGCAGGCCGCGACGTAGGGCGGCGGGCGGGCCGCGACGCAGGGCGGCGGGTAGGCCGTAGGTAGGGCGGCGGGCAGGCCGTGACGTAGGGCGGCGGGCAGGCCGCAACGTAGGGAGGCGGGCAGGCCGCGACGTAGAGTGGCGGGAAGGCCGCGAGTGGGGCGGCGGGCAGGCCGCGACGTAGGGCGGCGGGCAGGCCGCGAGTGGGGCGGCGGGCAGGCCGCGACGCAGGGCGGCGGGCGGGCCGCGACGTGGGGCGGCGGGGCCGCGACTTAGGGCGGCGGGGCCGCGACGTAGGGCGGCGGGCAGGCCGCACCGTAGGGCGGTGGGCAGGCCGCGACAGTAGGCACGCAGAAGGCCAGAGGAGAACTCTCCGCCTCTGTCCGTGTGCAGACGCAAAACAGGAAAGTCCGAGCCAAAGCTCTGCCTGAGCTGGAGACGAGCTGCGCGGATCCAGCCGATCAGCACCTCAGTAACATCACCCTTGCTGCGCAAGGGGAAGATTGTGGTGTAACGCGAGTAGTCGTCAACCACCAACAGGAAGTAGCGCTCGTGACCTAGTCCATGGACGCGGGCAGGGCCCCACACGTCCATGTGAAGCGTCTGCAACGGAGCCTCTGTCGGAGGAAACTGGGAGGAGTGGGGGGCAGCACGCTGGCGCCCCTCAACACAGGGGACACAGGCAGGGCCACGGCCCTGAGGAAGGGGAGGGAGGGACCGGGGGAGACCAGAGACAAGAAGACAGGAGGCCATGCCTCTGAGCCGAAGCAGAGAGGGGTGACCAAGGCGGTGGTGCCAGAGGAGAGTCTCGTGAGACAGGCGACGACACGAACAGGGGGCAGACTCAGGACCAGACCTGGACGCTGCAGCAAACACCTGACCAGACGAAGGGACCCTACCGGACTCAGCAACTGGAGGAGAAGCAGTGGTCAGTGTGTACAGGCTCGACCCTGGCTGACGTGTAAACGTAGCCAGGTGACGACCTGTGCTAGCCTCTGTGCAGTGCGTCACACGCTGACAAGCAGGAGTGAACTGGTGGACACCCGCATCCTGTAGGTCAGCACCACTCACCAGGTTCGTAGAGAACGAGGGGAGGTAGAGACCAGACAGGGTGCCAAAGGGGGCCGCCGGACACGGGAGGACTGTGGAGAAGCGAGACAGGACAGGACCCCCAGAGGGGTCAGCCAGGGACACCGCAACCGGCCGACTAAGCGGCCTGAGTGTGGTGCGGTCCCGAAAGAAGGAGCGAGATGCCCCAGAGTCAAGGGTGAAGGTGTGGGAGGCCGAAGCCGACGCAGTACCTGAGAGCGCAGACTCACTAGTACCTGAGAGCGCAGACTCACTAGTACCTGAGAGCACAGACGCACTGGCACCTAGAGCTGTAGCCTCACTGGCACCTAGAGCAGCAGTACCAATGCCCGGGTCGGGCGGGAAACACCGGTAACAGTCACCCTCATCACTAATAGTCACAGCATACATGGCAGCAAGGATAGCATCAAAGTCAAGATCAAAGATAGCTACACCAGCCCTAGACAGCTCTCCCCAGCGTTGGATCTCAGAGGCCTCCGGGAACTGCTGGCGCCAAGCGTCCGTCAGGCGGCCAAAGCAGCGCTGGGCGGTGTGGGTACCCCCACACTGCTCACCCGCGCGGTCGCCGGTGCGAAGGACGTAGGTGCAGGGACCAAAAGCCCCACCACGCTGACGCTGCGTGTACCACTCACGGAGCTGCAGAGGGGCGGGGACGTCGCGAGAACGTTGCTGCTGGCGCTGACCACCCCCAGTGCTGCTCCGCTGCGAAGAGCCACTCGGACCACCTCCACCACCGCCACCCCCGCCTCCGCCTCCACCGCCGCCACCTCCGCCACCTCCGCTCCCACCGCCACCGCCGCCGCCACCTCCGCCTCCACTGCCGCCACTAGTACCCCCACCCCCGCTACCACCTCCACCGCCACCCCCACTCCCCCCGCCGCCCCCACCTCCTCCGCCACCGCCCCCGCTAGCTCCACCCGCGCCCTTGCCCCCCTTGCCCTTGCTAGGGCGGCGTCTCCCGCTAGGGGCAGACGCCGCACCGACCGACTCAAGACCAACGAGGTCGGCCGCAGCAGCAGAGGCGACAGAGGGTAACAGGGGGGAAGGAGAACACCCCTCAAAGATGGGGGTGCGAGGGTCACCACGAGAGGCCCCTACAGCGACTATGCTCTTCTCGGCCGCTAGGAGGGACTTCTCGAGGAGGTCGACAGTGAGAGTGGTGGGACAGAGCGAGAGAAAGTGGTCCCTAACTACACGAAGGGACTCAGGGAGACGAGTGACTAGAAAGTAGAGAGTGATGTACATGGGGGGGGGGGTTTTGGCGCAGAAGTCAGCAGGAAGCGCAGCGCGGTAGCGAGTGTCACTAGTGCGGAGGTGCGTAATGAGGTCAGCGACTGTGGGAAAGGCAGCAAGGTTGGGGAAGAGGTACGGTAGCATGAGACGGCTCAGTGCAGCAGTGGCAGGGGAGGAGTAGCGTGCAACTACAGCGTCGTACAAGGTCTGTGCACTCTTGTACTGACTAAAGTGTGCACGCTTAGAGGTGGGGAGGTGGCGACGCACAGCAAGACGTGCAGCAGCATCGCGTGTGGCCCACTTGGAGCGAACAGTGGGGTCAGCATCAGCAGCAGGGGCAGGGACGGCGCCAGAGGTAAGGTCAAAGAGAGAAATGTCATCTACCCTATCGCACTGCAAGTACAGCTGCAGGTCGTCGACCCAGACCTCAAAGTCAATGGCACGACCCTCAGCGTCAAGAGCTAGGACACTAGGGGTAGCCATGACGACAGACGCCTAGCAGTGCAAGCAGTAGGGTGAGGGCAGTGCAGCGAAAAGGGCTCTGTGCTCACCAGACAGGGCAGAACAGGAAGTAAGGCAGCTTGGTGGCCGGCGGCTCGACTGCTGGGCGGCTCGGCTGCTGGGCGGCTCGGCGGCTCGGCTGCTCGGCGGCTCGGCGGCTCGGCGGCTCGGCTGCTGGGCGGCTCGGCTGCTGGGCGGCTCGGCTGCTGGGCGGCTCGGCTGCTGGGCGGCTCGGCGGCTCGGCTGCTGGGCGGCTCGGCGGCTCGGCTGCTGGGCGGCTCGGCGGCTCGGTTGCTCTGCTGCTGGGCGGCTCGGCGGCGCAGTGGCTCGGTCACTGGGCGACCCGGCGGTCAGGCGGCTCGGCGACCCTGGTTCATGGCGGCGTGGCGGCCGTGGGTAGGACAGCGGGTGGGCCGCAGGTAGGGCAGCAGGCGTGCCGCAGGTGGGGCGGCAGACGAGCCGCAGGTAGGGCGGCGGGCGTGCCGCAATGTAGGGCGGCCGTCGGGCCGCAATGTAGGGCGGCGGGCGGGCCGCGACGTAGGGCGGCGGGCGGGCCGCGACGTAGGGCGGCGGGTGGGCCGCAGGTAGGGCGGCGAGCAGGCCGCGACGTAGGGCGGCGGGCGGGCCGCGACGCAGGGTGGCGGGTAGGCCGCAGGTAGGGCGGCGGGCAGGCCGCGACGTAGGGCGGCGGGCAGGCCGCAACGTAGGGCGGCGGGCAGGCCGCGACGTAGAGTGGCGGGCAGGCCGCGAGTGGGGCGGCGGGCAGGCCGCGACGTAGGGCGGCGGGCAGGCCGCGAGTGGGGCGGCGGGCAGGCCGCGACACAGGGCGGCGGGCGGGCCGCGACGTGGGGCGGCGGGGCCGCGACTTAGGGCGGCGGGGCCGCGACGTAGGGCGGCGGGCAGGCCGCACCGTAGGGCGGCGGGCAGGCCGCGACGTAGGGTGGCGGGCGGGCCGCGACGTAGGGTGGCGGGGCCGTCGAAAGGCAGGGCGGCGGGGCCGTCAGCTAGGGCGGCTCGGCGCGTCGTTAGGAGGCGACCCGACGGATCGCTAAAAAAAAAGGAATAAAAAAGGAGAGCGCGACTCGAGGCGCGCTTCGGTGGGCCCTAGGAACAGTCCCTTGGAGGGGACCTGCTCTGATTCCATGTGAAATTGAGAACGAGCGTGAAATGACTATGAACGAAGTGAGTACAAATAGGAAACCCTAATTGGGTTGTACCCCCTATGGGATACCCCACTATAGCCTACACAAATAAGTAAGCTATAATGTTCTGACAATTTGAACACGCTTGAGCAGAAAGGTTTCGCCAAGAAGGGGGAAGGGAGTTCGCGCTCGGTGTCGTAGGGCGCAATTCTACATGCGCCTCGGATCTGGCCCTCTCTGTTCGACTTCCCCTCGCACTCTGGCGACAAACCCGCGAGTCTGGTTTGCAGCACCACACACATTCGGCACGTCGCATGTGATCTGTGCGCCGATGACGAAAGCAATGACGACACCAAATTCCTTAACAGTAGGGTTGCTTACGTCGCAGTGGCAGGAAATGCGGTTACCGGATAATCTCGCCCG